TGTATAACAATGTTATGCAACGTGTGTACACATTGTGTTCACGTACTACATTTGTATTACATTTTTACTCATGTATTTGTTTTTTACAAAAAAAACCGGGGCGGTGGTTGCAGCATGTATTACATATGTTGGCCCACATGTTTACAGTGTGGTTATACAGAGGACTGTTTTCAACAGTGTCGTACACACTTGTTGTCATGACTACTAATTTGTATTAATTTAGGTCGCTCATGTATTATATGTATTGACATGTATACATGTGTTTGCCACATGTATTACATCGTCGTGGCACATGTCATTACATTTATTGCCACCATGTATTACATGTGCTTGCACATGTATTAATGTTGCTTGCCACTGTATTACACATGATACAATGTTGTTGCAACGTTGTGTACACATTCTGTTTTTCATGTACTGCACTTTATTACATTTATTGCCTCATGTTGATTACATGTGTTGCACATGGTATTACATGTGCTTGCCCATGTATTAACAATGTATACAAGTGTTTTCAACGTGTATACACATTGTTTTCATGCTACTACATTGTATTACATTTATTGGCCTATGTATTAGTACATGTGTTGCACATGTATTACATGTGTTGCACATGTATTACACATGTATACAATGTTTGCAACGTGTGTACACATTGTTTTCATGTACTACATTTGTATTACATTTATTGCTCATGTATTACATGTGTTGCACATGTATTACATGTGTTGCACATGTATTACATGTGTTGCACATGTATTACACATGTATACAATGTTTTCAACGTGTGTACACATTGTTTTCATGTACTACATTTGTATTACATGTGTTGCACATGTATTACATGTGTTGCACATGTATTACATGTGTTGCACATGTATTACACATGTATACAATGTTTGCAACGAGTGTACACATTGTTTTCATGTACTACATTTGTATTACATGTGTTGCACATGTATTACATGTGTTGCACATGTATTACATGTGTTGCACATGTATTACACATGTATACAATGTTTGCAACGTGTGTACACATTGTTTTCATGTACTACATTTGTATTACATTTATTGCTCATGTAGTACATGTGTTGCACATGTATTGCATGTGTTGCACATGTATTACATGTGTTGCACATGTATTACATGTGTTGCACATGTATTACATGTGTTGCACATGTATTACATGTGTTGCACATGTATTACATGTGTTGCACATGTATTACACATGTATACAATGTTTTCAACGTGTGTACACATTGTTTTCATGTACTACATTTGTATTACATTTATTGCTCATGTATTACATTTATTGCACATGTATTACATGTGTTGCACATGTAGTACATGTGTTGCACATGTATTACACATGTATACAATGTTTGCAACGTGTACAAAATACAATACAATGTAATACAATGTAATACAATACAATGCAATACAATGTAAAAAAGTGTAATACAATGTAATGCAATACAAGTGTATTACGTGAAAACAATGTTTGCAGCGTGTGTACACATTGTTTTCACCTACTACACTTGTATTACATTAATCGAACATGTGTTGCACATGTATTGCACATGTATGCAATGTTTGCAAAGTGTACATAATACAATACAATGTAATACAATGTTATACAATACAAGTGTAGTACGTGAAAACAATATGAACGTTGAATGTACATATCGCACATGTGTAATGCAATGTTATGCATTAGAATTGAGTGTAATACAATGTAATTACGAGATAACGAAATAGCTTGTCTGGAGGAGAAGATCGTTGGTTACGGGAACTTCGACCAAACTGTCCAAGACAAGTGAAGTCTAAGACAAGTAAAGCGATTTGCACGTCAGAATCGCTACGGCCTTCCACCAGAGTTTCCTCTGGCTTCAACCTACTCAGGCATAGTTCACCATCTTTCGGGTCCCAACATGCATGCTCTAGCTCCACCTCACCGACGTGGCGGACGAGATGGGCCGGCAGTGCGCCCGGACATCGGTATCCGGGATCTCGCCTAAGCCGACCGGAAAGTCGACCTTCACTTTCATTGCGCCTTTGAGTGTTCGATACCCAATGACTTGCACACATGTTAGACTCCTTGGTCCGTGTTTCAAGACGGGTCGGGTGGGTTGCCGACATAAACACCACAAACCTTGAGCGCCGACTTGCGAGCGACGGCCGCCAGCGGCTCTTCGCGGTTGCCAGGCACTGCACGCAGTTCCTGACGTTCGGGAGAAAAGGCGAGACGACCGGCCGAAGCCGCGAGCGATGGCGCGGAATAGGCATGCCTCGGTTGCGTCGAAGAGCCGAAGCTGCAGAGCTTAACGCCGGAGCATCGAGAGCGCCGGTTACCTGCTCGCACAGTTCGATACTCTCCGACGCACCGGTTGTGGTATCAGCCGTTCGAAAATGCACTACGCACGTATCGTCGGCGGAAGCCGGGTCCTTGCGGATCCCTCGAGAAAGCTCCCGTTTGCGACATCGAGCACGGTTGAATTCGAACGACCACGTTTGCGGGTCCACCCGTTTGCCTCTGAGCGGTTTCACGTACTCTTGAACTCTCTCTTCAAAGTTCTTTTCAACTTTCCCTCACGGTACTTGTTTGCTATCGGTCCCGTGTCAGTATTTAGCCTTAGATGGAGTTTACCACCCACTTTGGGCTGCAATCCCAAACAACCCGACTCAAAGGAGGCGAATACCGACGACGACGAGTGGCAATACGGGCCTTGCACCCTTCGTAGGAAAGGGCCCCGGTCAGGAGGACGGAGCAACTCGAACGTCGACGGAAATGCTCTCCTAAACACCACAGTTCACGCCGGCGAAACGTCGACGCGATTCGGTGCTGGGCTCTTCCCCGTTCACTCGCCGTTACTAGGGGAATCCTTGTTAGTTTCTTTTCCTCCGCTTAGTAATATGCTTAAATTCAGCGGGTAGTCACGCCCGATCTGAGGTCGTTATGATCGTTTTTTGGTGAAGAACACGGTGGCGACGGCGGCGTCGACAGACGTGGCAACAGCACAGCAGCAGCGGCAGCAACAGCACCAGCAGCCTCGGCGACGGACGTGTGCCAGCAGCGAAGCCGAGAATGCTTCGCGCGAGCAACACGTAACGAGGCGGCCATCTGCGCTGCCGACGCTGTGCGGTGCACACACGCACGCACAGCACGCACCCGCTTCACCAGCAATTTGCTCCGTTGACGGCAAACACTCTCTAATCAAAGACGATCGAATCGAGATTGCAACGTCGGCTACGGATGCGACCGCTTTCGAGATGGCACGTCGTAGACGGTACGGGACTCGCATACGTGGATCGAGTGCCTACGACGACGC